CGCAAGTGCTTGGGGTTTGCCTTGTCCCACAGGAACCAACAAGCCTGGTCGATGGATGACCGGATCCATCCAAGGCTCTCTAAGCTCTTTGCCAGCTTGAGCCACCATTGACGTGGGGCATCAGCGAGGCCGAATACCCCCTTCAATATTTTGGCGACACAGCCAAAGGGGAGTGGCACTGCCGGTGAAGTGCGAGTGTTTGTGGGACCCATGTATAACTCTCTCGCTATAAATGGGTCCCCCTTGAGGAACGCACTTTTGACGTCACAAGATAAGAGGCTCCAAGCGCTCCCCATCCAAGACGTCATACACAAGAGCAAGTGTTGGCTCAGGCGCGACCCTGTGGGCGCATCGCGTCGGATTTGACCGGCCAAGTTCGCCCGATCTTTAAATCCGGGGACGACTAGGCGCGCCGACGGCTCAGGAGGCAGAGGGCAGCTGTCTGTACGAACACCGTCGTTCTTATCAGCGCACACGAATCGCGGAGTGAGAATTCTGTCTAATTCTCCAGCTTTCGCGAGTCGCTTGCGAACTGCAAGGCTCTCTTCGAGAGATAAGACTTTGACGGCATCATTCTCCACGTACGCAGCCCAGCCTTTGGCGGCAGCACGGCTCCACAGTTGCTTTTCGCCCTCGGTCATCTTTGACCACTGGTACTCCTTGCGAGCCAGTACAGCGTTGACCTCGTTCAGGTCGCCAGGAACGCTGGTAGGCAAAGGTGCTCCCAGGCTTTGCAAGGTTTCCAGCTGCGTCCTTGAAGGCAAAGACCAACGTCCATCCCACGTGCCATGGTCAGCTTCCGCTCCAAAGCACTCCAACGGGCGCTGCCTGTCCAGCTCAGCCTGCGCTTGGACTTGAAGAAGAGGATGCAGCGTCTCCACGTTCAGGACCATGTGCGACAGATCTTCGTGTGACAGAGTCAGTCCTTCCAGACTTCAGTTCACCGCCAGCACAGACCGTTCTTGCCCAGGTGTACTGCTTTCACCGCTAGGTACAGCTAAAAGAGCCCCAGCAGGTTCAGGAGAATGTTGGGGTAGCTGTTGAGCTTCTGCGAGAGCATCACCACTGGGTACAGTAGAGCTGCCACGTACTAAGTGAAGAGCCCCAGCAGGTTCAGGAGAATGTTGAGGTAGCTGTGGAGCTTCGGAGAGGCTCTGACACAGCAAAGCTCGAGCGACGGCTGTGCTCCCACCAGGCTCTGACTCACTTCGTCTCTTCAGCCCTCGTTCCAAGGCCGACCTCTGCATCGTTGCTCGAAGCTCAGCAGCAAAGTCAGCGGGTTGCCCACGTTGAAGAGCACGTAGTCGCAGGTCTGCTTCCAGAGGTTCACCACGTACTCGGCTCAGGGCCCGTTGAAGAACAGGTCGGTCAAGTAGTCCAGGACTTTCCAGCAAGGGCCCCGCAGGAGTTTCAAACAAATGCCCGACAGGAGTTCCAGGCGCTGCAGTGAGAAGTACTGAGTCGCGGGCATCGGTCGTCGCCTGCGAAGAGTTCGGCGCCGCACCAATGTCCACGGTCTCGTCCTCGATCGTCTCCGGTTCGTTCACGCCCTCAGGGATGCTGTCCAACTCGCGCGACACCTCCACGGCCGGAGCAGGACGAAGACGGTCAGTCAACTCACGAATCGCCTCCTCCCACGAGTTGGCTGCCAGCTGCTCCAATGACGAGGCGGCTCGAACATGCTCAAGTGCACACTTTGTAACCTGGCCCTTGAAGCTGAGGAACGCATTGACCGGAGTGCCGCCACCAAGCCCGCCTTCAAGGCAAAGAAGAATCGCTGGTCCATGCCAGCGTTTGAGCTCCAACCTTCGCCTCCTGCTCGAAGTTGACAAGTTGGGGTCGCCACGTCTCGAGTTCGGCTTGGTAGCCCTCCAGAAGTAAACCGTATCTCCGGGCAAGGGAGGCGCTGTGACCGTCGGTTCCCGGCTTCGGGCCAGCTCAGCTTTGCGAATGCTTTGACTGTAGCGCAGCCGTACCATCGCCACTCTCGCCGATTCACGAAGTGCAACGCGTTGAAGTAAGTTCGGCTCGGAGTCGATCAAGCCATGCTCGGCCAGGCGCCCGGCAAAGTTGTTCAGCACAGATCCTTGGTTGGAGGGCTGCCGTCCCGTGGCCGCTTGCATGGGCGACACCCCTTCGGAGTTCGGGTCGGCGTTGTACGCAGCACAAGCTTCACCCACCACCTGGCACATAGAGGCATGACCAATCACAGTTTGGTCCACCACACAAGCAGCCATCAGGCTTTTGAGAATTCCTCCACTCCTTTCGGCCACTCCGTTCTGCCAGGGTGCTTGAACGGCCGAGTGCCGCAACATAATGCTATGGCTGCTGCACCACACCTGCATCTCCTCAGATATAAATTCTCGTCCTTGGTCAGCAACGATCGTCCGAGGAGTACCCAGCATCGGCAGCCACATTTCACTGAGGAATGCAATGACCGAAGCCGTGGAGCGGTCTGGTATGACCCGAGCCAACTGGTACCTTGACACGGCATCAGTTGCATGAGCCACAACATAGACGTTCCCCAAAGCGTCGTCGACCATCAAGAGGTCCACGTGGATCTGCTCGCCAACCGTTCGGGGAGGAGGCAACCCAGCGACCCTTCGACTTTTCGGAGCCTTCCGTTCTTGGCACACATCACAACGAAGTTCTCGAGCGGCTTGTACTGCTGCAGGAGGTGCACCTGAAAGTAGAAGAGCTCGCGCCAGTCGCCTGGGAGGCCGATGTCCGGTCGCTTCATGAACACGCCTGACCGCCGCACGCACCGCCGAAGTGATCTCTCCCTTGAAGGGCTCGCCGAGGTCCGCATCCGAATCGTCATCGAATTCGCCCACGTCCTCCGCCAACACCTCGTGGTAGAAGTCCACTGCGGAATGGCCACCCACAACCTCGAAGCACTCAGACACCTTCACCTCGCGAGTCGCCATCGCCGCCTCGAAGTCGAATTCGGCCTCAAAAGCGACCACTAACTTCTCCGCAAACTTTCTGGTGTAGTGCCCCGCAGCAGTGGTCACGGCCGCGCCTCCCATAGTAGGTTCATGTCGGTGCTTGCCAGTGCAGCGGCATCCCAACAAGGCCGACCTCACAGACTGACTAGAGGTCAGTATTCTCGTGGGCTTTTTGTGTCGTAGTCCCAGAGGTCCTCGAAGGTCAAAGCGACACATGTCCACAGAAACCTCTCGCGTCCTCAAGTCTCGGCGCAGGCTCAGCAAAGGAGGCGTAGTCCAAGCACGGCTGCCGAGGGGATTCTCCATCACGAAGTGCCGGCCAGCATCCATCTGTAGCCTTGCCAGACGGCATGCAAAAGTAACAAGTGGCATTGCCTTTTCCTGTCGGATGGCCACCGCGGCGGGCAGACTGCTCAAGTTCTGTAAAGGCGACCAGGGCCCGCACGGAAAAGCAATGACCAGGAAGTAAGGCTTCTCCTTTTTGACCAGTTCGATCGCCATCTGCCGGTGGGCTCGGATCTCGAAGTTCCAGCCCTTGTCGAGCGTCATCGTAGTCCCAGTCGTGTGTCCTCGGCTCCGGGCAGCGCGTACAACAGGCTCAGTGTCCGAGTAGGCCTCCGAGCAGACCACCGGAATCTCCATGATGAACGCGTCGTGGATGCCTTTCATGTAGAGCTCCTTGTGCTCATCCGCCATGGCCTTGCGAACCTGACTCGGCGAACATGATATCAGGACTTGGTCTCGTCGATGCCGGTCCCACGCTTGACTGAGCAGCAGGCGCTGCCCTGGCTTCAATCGTCCAGTGTCGATCCTCTGGCTTCAATCGTCCAGCACCCCCTTGCTCTCGATCCTGTGGTCGATCACCTGCTCCCATGACTCTCCCGGCGCCTCCATCATGATGCTGTCCTCGCCGAACTCCTGGGTCGGTGCCGCTATACAGGGGCCGCTTGCATCTGCATCATGTGGTGGAGCACCTGGTGGAACATGGTCTGGAAACGGTCGTCCATTGCCGCCATGCGAGCGTCGACTGCCTGGAGGATGCCCTCGGTGTCGCCATCGGCGGTGACGTGGAAGCATTCCCTGCCAGAGGGGCGGACATGGGCACAGGTCCTTGTGATCTCACTGGCGTAGCTCCGAAGGAGGTCGCCATCGAGGTCGGCGCCGTAGTGCTCGAAGACGGAGCCGAGCTGGGCAACGAGGTAGTCGAAGACTTCATGTGCTCGGTGGCCTGTTCGTACGACACCTGCTGGCACAGAGCCGCGGCCACAGGCTTCAGCTTGGTCCGAATATTTGGCACCGTTTCTTTCTCGCCCACCTCGGTGTGTAGAAGCTGAGCCAGTTTGATCAGGTCGCTCTTCAAGGTCGGCAGTCCGCCACGAGGTCCAAGTAGGGCGCGAGCCACCTTGAGTCTGTCCTTCTCCTTGGCCAGCTTCTCGGCTTCCTCCTTGATGGCGGCGTTCTTCAGCTGTGTCATGCGTCCGGGCCGTTGACGCGCCATCAACATGCCAACCAGGATCGGGTCCTCGCGGAAGGCCAAAGACAGTCCCACCCGTCCCCGGCTCCATGCCAAAAGACTCAAGTTGCTGGCCGTGAAAGACGCTCGCGCCAGCCACTTCCGTGGGTAACAGCGCGACTCGATCATGGCCTCTGCTTGGGTTCGCCACTGCGCCACAGAAGACACCGAAGGATAAGGCCAGGGCAAGAATCGAAGCCCGGGCTGCCTGACGAACCACAACAGAACGCCTTTGTAGCTCCACCTTGCGCGGTGCCACAGACGCACCACCATGCGGCGCCATCGAGCCATGAAGATCTCCGTGAACTCGTCCGCCGCGCCCGGCCCGAGCGAGCCGCTTGGCATCGCCTCGCTTCCAGGAGCTTGCGTCGGCACAGGCTTGGTCGCACCCAGAGGAGTCGCCATGATCCAAAGAAGGCACAGAAGTGGAAGCGGTCGGGCTACTGTCGAAATCCTCGGGAGGAACGTCGTCAGACATATTGCTTTGAGCCAAGACGGTCAGCACGGAGTGAAAGTCATAGGCAAGCCGTCCAAGCTCCAAGCTGGCTTCGGTAACATTGTGATGGCGCCCTTCAAGCAAGGCATCTGCTGACTGCGGACGCGCATGCACTCGCATCAAACGACTGGCCCACTCTCTGCAATCAAGGTAAACTTCCAACACCCCATCGGGTCCCAGCTTGCGGCGCCTTCCTTTTTTCCAAGCTCGGGCCAGGCCTCCGGAATCAGCTTCAACGCCAGGTGCCCAGCGCTCAGCTTTTCGAGCGCGGTCGGGGCTTCCCCGAAAACTTTGCACACTAAGGTCTTGGCCGAAGCACATCGCGGCCCAGCAGCAGCCCCAACGAAGGAACCGGCACGGCAGAAACCCACACACAGATGAGCTCGCCAGAGATGACCAGGGGAATCCGCCAGCGCAATGTCGAAGGAAGAACGCCTCCGTTCCCAAAGCAGAACGACTCCATCTCGATCTTCGTCGTCACCAGCTCCTTGACGTGGTCGGGGGCCGTCGCCAGTTGGTCCACGTAATGCCTCCGCAATGCGAACCTGACGTCCAGCTTTCGGCTTTGGCCTAGCCAGGCCCGCTCCAGGGTGCTTGCACTCCGCATCACCTGCCCAGTGACCAGCTTGGCCGCAGTCAAAGCAGACATGCTTGCCCGACGCCTTCTTGGCGGTACTGATGCCGAAGTCGCCTTAGCCTTCGGTTTTCCTCCGCCGGATCCAGTCCCCATGGCCGAGGGTCCTTTGTAGCCGCGATCCTTCCGCACTTCAACTGGCTTTGTCCTCGCTTCTCGCATGCTCACCAAAGCTTCGGCCGACGCCTCGACCCCGCTCTCCAGCGCTTCCAAGTGAGAGGGGTCCACTCCTTCAGCTTCGGCTTCGGCGATCTCACCCGCCAAGCGCTCGACCTCCGCCTGCAGCACCTCTTCCAACGTGGTCTCGCCGTCGGCAGCGTCCTCGGTCGCCTCGGCCTCGTCATCATTCTCGTCCACGGTCTCGTCCTCGGCTGTCTCCGCCACGTGCGCTTGCCGAGGTGGAGCATTATACGAAATGAAGACCGCATCAAAGACCCCGACACAGACCCCGTCGACGGCCTTCGATAGGCAGTCGCTGAAGACGATCCCGTAGAAGCCGCCGAAGGAGGCGGAGCAGCGGCGAACACCTTCCTGATGGTCATCTTGGCACCTCCGCCTGCCCGGTCAAGTCGACGGAACAAAGGATCCTGCAAGTGAAGGTCACGGAACAGGCGCAGGCACTCAGACTCGATCACAACGTAAGACTCGGAGCCTTGAAGCGCGGTCTCAAGCAATTGCTTCCTCAGAGGGTCCAAGCCGAGCTTCTCCTTAAAGAACCAGCCAAGCTCACCTTCAGGAAGAACCACGCCTTCAGCTTTCAAGTCCGAAACCGAAGTCCTGAACCGACTGGAGTAATCGGCCACACGCTCGCCCGCCTTCCTCGAGAGGTGCAGGTAGAACTGAGTACGCAGCTCTCCGCGCTTGTCCAGGGTGCTCTGACCGTTCATCGCTTCCAGGGCCGCCAGCAACTTGTTCAAGCCAAAGAGCAGGTCCTCCGGCTCGTCCACCAGAACCTCGCCCGAGTCAGGGTCTGTCAGGGTGGCCGCCTTCTTGAACGCGAGGTCCTCGGGATTGAACTCCTCTCCGCGCTGGCGCACCATGCCGGTTTGGCGCAGTGTTGTCGTCCTTGCTGTCGGACATCTATCGAATTCGCCAGGCACAGGTAGAAACGGCCTGATCCACAGACAGCGACCTCCAAGCCCTCCAAGGCCCAAGCAGCCCGTCAGGGCCTTTCCTTCAGCTGCGTAGCCGAAGCGGAGAATCGTGTAAAGGAGCAGGCTCTGGAGGAACACGATGAAGCAGCAGCAGCGGCCAGCGAGCCCACAGCAGCCAGCGAGGCCACCGCAGCCAGCGGAGTAGCGCAGCAACAGCGTGCCAGCCCCGGGCACTCAACTCAGAGCTCCGGTGCCACTATGAATGCTCGACACAACTACAGCCAAGCAGGCTAAGCTCAGACGGGCACTCCTTTTCGCAGCACTAAGTTTGGCTGAAGATCTGCGATGCAAATACATGCAAACAGGAGCATCAATGCACAAGCTGTCTTTCCACAGCCTTAGAAGGACACATAAGCTTCATTCTGGACTATTAGAAACGCTCAAATACCAACAGCTACCACAGCCCGAAGGATCGTGCCGCAAACTAGCCCATCCTGTAACTGTCGGCGCGTTTTGAATCTTGTACACAGAATCAGACTCCAAAAGTAGCGACAGTCACAAAGATGGCCTGTTCCAGACCCTGTTCCTTGGCACTTTTGAGACAGGGTGGGGTTGGGGGAGGGGGTGGGGGGAGAGGCGGCGGGGGGTGGGGGCTGGGTGGGAGGGGGAAATAGTCCCTACTACAACCTGAAGTCCTATACGACAACCAGATGGTCTATGCTACAACTGAAAAGCGGACCCTATCACAACCGGTCCCAAAAATCACAAAAGAGGACCCTACTGCGATCAGAACAGCGCATAATCAGTTCACCACGATATGCACCTAGACCATTTAATGTATTCTGGAATGCTGTTCTTGAAGTGCTCTTGGAATGGTGCTGGACGGGTCCTTTTGGAATGGTGCTGGAGAGGTCCTCTTGGAATGGTGCTGGAGAGGTCCTCTTGGAATGGTGCTGGACGGGGCTGGAGAGGTCCAGTTGGAATGGTGCTGGACGGGTCCTCTTGGAATGGTGCTGGACGGGTCCTCTTAGAATGGTGGGTGCTGGACGGGTCCTCTTGGAATGGTGCTGGAGAGGTCCTCTTGGAATGGTGCTGGACGGGTCCTCTTGGAATGCAGAAGGAAGAGGTCCTCTTGGAATGGTGCTGGACGGGTTTTATTGTCAATGGTGCTGGAGAGGGTGCTCTTGGAATGCTGTTGGGTGCAGGCTCCCCCACGCTGGAGAGCCTGCACCAGGCCCCCACCAACCCCCACCAACACCCCCACACCCCCACGAACACCCCCACACCCCCACGGACCCCACCGCACCCCCGCAGCACCAGCCACAATGTAACAACGACAAGCGCAAGCACAACCACAACCGCAACCGCAACCAGCAATCGCTACCGCCACCGCCACCAGCACCAGCACCAGCACCAGCACCGCCACAACAAACACCACCACTAGGGGTGGCATTTCTGATGCCGTATACCCTGAAGTGACTCAAGCATGTCAATGTTATAGGTGCTCCCTTTCAATTCAACTTCTTGGTACTCTGACGAACGATGGTCCGTGTACAACTCACGTTTCCTTGAATTAAATCAAATTTCCTTCCCTCG